GTACGTGTAGTTACGCACGTTGGGTGGTGGTGGTGGTGGTGGTGAGTTGTTTAAGGAATATATATTTTTTCTTTCGTTCCTCTCTCTCTCTCTCTCTCTCTCTCTCTCTCTCTCTCTCTCTCTCTCTCTCTCTCTCTCAATTTTTATACCTTTTTTATGACAAATCCCTTCCATTTTCTTTTATCATTACAGTGGGAAACTATAGTAAAAAAACACAAAACAAACACAAAACAAACACAAAACAAACACAAAACAAACACAAAAAACACAGTGATGGCGGCTTAACATAGTATGCGGGTAAGGATGAAGAAACAACATTACATTTACAATTGGCTTTTATTTTGTCAGACTGTGAGAGTAAAGTGTCTGTCAGTTTGTTTGGGATGCTGGTCTGGTACTCCCATCCAGTCCCAATAGGTGTTAGTCCCAATAGGTACCACTTCAAATAGGCCCCAGTCCCATTAGTACCCATCCTTATAGATCCCAGTAAAACCTAACCTAACCTAACCTAACCTAACGTAACCTAACCTAGTGAAAATTGTGACTTTTTTCGGATCGTCAGTATCCATGGGAGCGAACCAAGGGACTATATAACCTCCTTAAGACAAGAGACGAGCACTGTATACACTCAGCCACTGCAAAATTTATCCTTCCCTCAGTCACTCCTTTAATACAGAATTTTTATCCCACGTTACAGTAGCCAGACATTACATCTTACTATTACAGTTGTCTGTCAGGGAGTACTGTAACCTGTAACCAAAGTAAAAGTGTACTCAATGTTACAGTAGTATAAGTGTAAGTGTATCATGTATATCCAAGCCAAGCAAGGAGTGTAGGTGGAAGGTGGAACGCGGATACAGAAATAGCCTCTCTCTCTCTCTCTCTCACGGAGGATGACGAACTCCCCTGGTGACAACGACCAGCGTAAACACCTCGTAAGGTCCTGTATATCAGCTGGTTCCTGGTGTGTGTGTGTGTGTGATGTTTTATGTATGTATGTATGTATGTATGTATGTATGTATGTATGTATGCATGTATGTATGTATGTATGTATGTGTCACTTTATCACCTACATAACTTCTAAACTAATGACGTGTGCTTAAGTAAAAAAAAAAACACTGAGTCATTTACAGATATTTATCCCCTGAACATAAAAGCTATACTGTATATTTACGACACACACTCTACCTTTATCCCACCTCTTTGTTTACTAATTATCAAAGGTAGATTCTGTGAACACCATCAGTGGACCAAGGTAGTTTAGGAGTTTTTAAAGTGTCCGTATGAGCGTTAAGTGTTGTAATTTGTGTCGATAAAGATTGTTAGTGGAGTAGTGAACTAGGGCGGGGCGGGGGGGGTGTGTGTGGGAGGGGTGTAAGTGTGTGTGGGGGGTGTGGTGTGTGTGTGTGGGGGAGGTCGTTCGTGTCGTGTAGTGTATACGTAAGAGTAGGGTTAAAGACGCGCGTGTGGGTTACGTGGGGGCGTGCGTGTGGGTGCGTGTAGGGTGCGTGTGGGTGCGTGGGGGCGCGTGCGTGGGTGCGTGCAGACAGAAACACCACTAACACGCCACACTAACGCACTTCACCATGCAGCGGCCACCAGACGTATTATTGACCGGTGAGGTTATATATGGCCTTTTAGGGACCCGCCTCAGTGCCTGCATTCCTTGTCCACCTGTCTGTGTGTGTGTGTGTGTGTGTGTGTGTGTGTGTGTGTGTGTGTGTGTGTGTGTGTGTGTGTGTGTGTGTTGGGTTACCTGGATACTGATGATTGCCAGGAAGAAGGAGGAGGAGGAAGAGAAAGGGAGAGGAGTGGGTGGACGAAGACGAAGGAGATGCGGTATTTAAATCACATGATGAATAAGCTTACAGGAGCATCTACCAAATATCTGTCTGTCTGTCTGTCTGTCTGTCTGTCTCTGTCTGTCTCTCTGTCCCTCTGTCTCTCCCTCTCTCACTAGCGCCATGTCACCTCTCGTAATACTCGGGTCTTGAGTTGAGTCACGACCTTCCTGACGAAGCTACTTCCTCGGGTCTTCTTCGGCGTCTCTACCTTCACGCCTACACTGTCTACCTCACGTCTACACTGTCTACCTCACGCCTACACTGTCTACCTCACGTCTACATTGTCTACCTCACGTCTACATTGTCTACCTCACGTCTACATTGTCTACTTTTTAAAACCTAATATGACCTTACCTATTCTTACCTAACCTATCCACTCAGGTTGGATGGTAGGTTAGGATAAGTTAGGGTAAGGTTAGGTCAGGATTTGTTGAATCAGGTTAGAATAGGTCACATCATGTCAGGATGGGTTGGGTTAGGTTAGGTTAGGTTAGGTTGGACGGAGGCCAACTTGGGGTAAAATGGAATTGCATCAGGAAATGGCGACTTCCTGTGTACTTTCCCGTCCACACTGCTGGTTTTCGTGTGCGTGTGTGTGTATGTATGTATGTATGTATGTGTGTATGTGCGTTTGTATGTATGTATGTATTACCATCTGTATATATCCCGATAACTTATCAACGTACAGATTATACTTGTGTGTGTGTGTGTGTGTGTGTGTGTGTGTGTGTGTGTGTGTGTGTGTGTGTGTGTGTGTGTGTGAACCCTGGCTTTACCATCATTAACCAGCGGACTGGCCAACACAGCCTGTAATCCCACTGTAATATTCCTCCCCCACCTGTAATAACTTATCATAATACATACTTAGAAATTTCATGAATTTTAAACTGAACTCCTAAATAGTCTGTATCTGTAATCACCTCTAATGTGATGTTACAAAATACATCGACTATCCAAGTATAAATTTCCCTATACATAGTCTTTAAAATAGTCTAAATCTATGTATACTTTAAATAGACATATGTATTAGTTATTCCAAAGAGTATATACATGAATTCTTAGTATATATGGTTTTATAATGTTGGGTAATACTTAGCTATAATATACCATTGTGATGTATAGTGAATGCTCGACTCCCTGGCCAATTTAGGCGTTATATAAGTAACTCTTAAGGGTCAGAGTTCATTCTTTTGACCTCCAGATCTGCTCCAGTTTATAAAGCTTTAAGTAACATGTGTTTTGTTTAAGGGGGGGGGATATTTATTTGCCCAGCTGACCTGTTTTGATTTTCCTGATTGAGGGATTTTTTCTTCTATATATCTCTCACTCTCTCTCTCTTTCTTTATTTAGCCTTTTCTTTCTTGTTCATATCTTTCTCTAACCTATTATAACCTCTCCTAAACTAATTTATATAACCTAAGGTAACCTAATATACATGTCATAACCTAACGTAACCTAACCTAACCTCACCTCTTCCTCGCCACTGATGGGCTCGGTTGCCACTGGGCGGTCGGTCACCTCTGTTACGCACGCACTGTTGGCAAGTACTGGGTATGAATTGGCTCCTGAGTTGATCTGTACCTGTCCCAGTGTTGGTCAAGTCTGCTACATATAGTACAGGTGCAATAATTCCCATGCTGAAACAGTATCATAAAGTTGGTTAAGTTAGGATAGTTTACGTTAGGTTTGTCATGGAACCGCAGTTACAGTCAATTACATATGTTGACAAAATAATACAACTGACACACGCAGAAGAGAAATTAGTAGAAAATAAGACTTTAAATATTCTACCTAAGGCGTCTCAGTATTGTCGTAGAACTGTGGCATCTCTCGTTAACGTGAGAAAAAGGCAGTAACTTGGGGGAAGGGAGTCGCACCTGGCGTCTGTGAAGTGGCACCTGGTGGCCATCGGGCGTATTGCTGGGCCAACGTAAACAAACATTGCCCGCTACTCTATACACCCGTCACGTCACATCTCCCCCGGTGGACGCGTTCAGGGTCGTTTAGTGTACCGCTAGGTTAGGTTAGGGCTGGCTTGCTTCTGTGTTTTTTCTTTCAGTAGTAGTGTCTGAAGTACCTCTTTGTGACTCATTATAACAAAATAACTCTTTGTTGGTAATTTCAGTCTCTCACCTCAGACTACCGTGGATGTTGACCCAGAGAGTACAAGCCTCCAACTCTCACTAGATTACTCTTTTATGTCTAATGATCCTCTCAACACGTCGTTAGCTGTAGGGTATTGAGTCTCAATATGACCTTTAAGATGTTAGGTGAGGGTTTGACTGTTTTACTGACTGTTTGTGAGGTGTGGTATACAATTGACTGGTTTTAGTGTGTGTGATTCGTAAACTGACTGGTGGGTGTTAAGTCTTGTGAATATTTGACTGGGGTGTGTGAGACTAACTGGTGATGGACAGAGGTAGCATAGTGTGTGTGTGTGTGTGTGTGTGTGTGTGTGAGAGAGAGAGAGAGAGAGAGAGAGAGAGAGAGCGACAAACGATCAGTGGTAGGGAGTGTGTTAATATTGTCACCATTCCGTCACGCAAGTGGTCGTGCCAGCAAGAGACGGAAGCTGACTGTCTCCAACCCAGAATATTTTTTTTATGCATACAGAGAGAGAGAGAGAGATAGTGTGTGTGTGTGTGAGGGCAAACTTTTTCGGAGTGAGGGTTGTAAACTCTTGGAACAATCTACCAGAGTGTTGTGACGGCACCGAGTGTGAGCTCTTTCAAGAGAAGACTTGACCAACACTGGAGCGGGTTCAGGTACATTCAGGAGCCGGTGCATGCCCAGTATTTGCCAACAGTGCGTGACAGAGACGTGACCGATCGCCCGGGCGGCTAGCGAGCCGACCTTTTGGTGAAGAATATAAAGGAAAAGAGACGTGACCGATCGCCCAAGCGGCTAACAAGCCGATCAGTGGCGAAGAGGATAAAAGTAAAGTAAAAAGTAATGCCCAGAATGACTGCCGTGTTGACTCTAGCCTAACCATGATCACCCCCTACCTACCCCCTCACTAACCAAACAACCCCCCTAACTATCTCCCCCCCCTATGTTTACGTATCACACCCTTTCGACATTGCATGAGGAGAGGGGGGGGGCGTGTATAGTTAAGGCTATAGTACAAGTTGATACATAGATTTGTTTTCCTTTCAGATTCACTGTGCTGGTGGTGTGTCGTCTGCCTACAGTACCACCCACCATCATAGCTCTAGGCTTCTGTAAGTACACTGTTGTTCTTCTTTTTGGGGGTTGTGTTGTGTGGTGAGGTGGGGTGGGGCAGGGTGTGGTAGAGTAGGGTGGTGCTGTGTGGTGGGGTGGTGCGATGTCATGGGGTGGGGCACTGCTGTTCTCGGTCCTAATGACATATTTTAGCAATTATCTTACCCTAGTGTGATGTTTAGGTCACACACACACACACACACACACACACACACACACACACACCATACAGGTTGTACAAATAATAAAAGAAGAAACTGGAGAGGTATAATAATTAATACGAGTAATAACAACAGTAGTAGTAGCAGGAATAATAATAAGACTAGGTGAGAGGCTGTCAGTCACCATTTGGCTGTCACCCAGTCTTACATCACCTAAATGACTCACCTATCACCTGTAATTTGGCTCACATGTGACTACTGAGGTCACATTACTGGTTGGCGTCAAACCTTTCCTTCTGACGTCATGCCCCAATTGATTACGTCACCTCCCTGCTGCCATCCATCCTTCCTGTATGAGTCAGTTTATAGCACTGTTTTCCCTCAACCCTGGAAATAAAAGCTGAATGCAACATAGACACAAGTAAATCATCGTGTCAAACATAACATTTAAGTACTGCATCAATAAGGTAATGCACTTATTTTATGTACGTTCATCACCTGAAATCCCACTGTAAAAGAAGATAAAACAGAAAACTATAAACTATATTGTATTTCTGTTCCCTTCGGCAGGTTACAGTCTAAATATACAGTGCTTCTGTTGTTTTTCTTCTGCCGTTGGAGCTGGGAGGAGCATGGAGCTCAAGGGAAAACGGGCTACTAGTCGACCTTAAAATAATAATCAGGCGATTTATCCACAAACAAACGTTGCCACTGACTTCCAGTTTTGAAATGTAAACAAAGTTTTATCGAAGTTATACATTGTTCACGAATCTATAGATAATATCATGACTAATTTGTCGGAACGTCAGATGTGTGTTTATTTACAAATAGATGTTAGAAATTGACAGCTATGTGTGAATCGGCAAATCTCTTTTTCATGTTTTTATTTTATATTTCTTTTGGTTTTGTGTAATTTTTGTTACGTGTTAGTTTCAATTATTTCATTTATATGTACATATAAAATAAAAATTATATATATAATTGTAGGTGTCCAGAGAAATGTTACTATGTACTGTATATGGTGGTGGCGGTGTGTGGCAACGGGTATGTTTGGTGGGCTGGGCAACGCGTGGCGTGAGCTGGCAGTGGCTGCTCCCCCACTCTCCTAACTCACCATGGAGTCCGCTAACTTTTCTTACAATTTCAACTATAAATATCATTTTTTCACTCATGTAACAAACAGTGTGGTGATCGCAGTGGCAGAGAGTGATGTTGGGAATCCTCAAGTAACAGAGATGTTGCACAGGATCACGTCGTGGGATGTGAGACTACTTGAGAAGGCTACAATGGTAACATTCTTGACATGTGGCAGAGTTACCTACAAGGAGGGTGGTGTTGCTGTCCACGAGGAGGCTCGAGACCCCACCAGGCAACCTAACTATCGAGTTTATATCCGGGAAGACGACGTGTGGTCAGTGTTCTCTCTAGACAAAGAAATTTTTGCTGAGGGAGACGGTTTACACTTGTATGCAGTGCTGAACGTTGGTCTTGAGGGCTGGTGTGTACTGGCGAGTGACTTCCACACTGTGTTTCATGTTCTGAAGAACCATGGAATGTCAGCTGAGCATCTGATGGGACAAGACACCTGTGATCATACGTGTTTACACCGCCAGGACAACCTGGTCCCGCGGGTTCGACCAGCCTTACTCCGTCACCCAATTCGCTTGCGCCACCCGAGGCACATAAAAAGTTTACGGTTAGGTATGCAGACACTGAATGTGGTGGCACTAGCTGTTGCACCGTTTAATGAAGATGCTGAAATAATGCTCAACTCTCTGATCGTATTCTACCTTGGTCACTGTGACACAGACACAAATAACTGTGTGGAACAGTGCCTAGTAGCTGGCTTTGACCTAACACACCGAAAACATCGGGCAATAGGACAAAACTCCTGTGGGGGTGGTGCTCTCGTAGTGGTCCACGATGAGCAGGACTGGAGGGGCTTCCTGACAGCTATTTCCCCACTGCTGAGGACCTACGACCAGTCCAATAAGAATGCTTTCTTGAGAATTTTCACACACATAAACCCCGTTAATTGGGAGGAAGCAGCAACCATCATTTCTGAAAGAGTTTCTCTCCGGGACCTGGCCTTCAACCGTGTGTCTCAGTTACCCATAGAGTACTTGGAGCGATATGCCCCTCACCAGCTGTGTAGGAAAGTAAGGTACACACAGAATATCATCCCTTGGAACAGATTCTCTAAACGTGAGCCGGAGGATGTAACATAAACGTTATTTAAAGAGCGAAGTATGTCATGCTCTGTTGATACTGTGTGGGAGAGGCTGTGGGACATCTTACCTTTGTTTTAGTGTACCAGGTAACTCCCCAGCACTGATAATGAGATGCAATAATTATCCAGATATCACCATCACTTGCCTTTTATACATGTTTGTCACACTAACCGAATTGGTGCAGAAATTAATATACCAGTATTACACTTTTGAAGAAGATAAAAAGATTTGTTCAACTGTATTTTATCATGACATTGTTGGCAAATTAGTGTTAGGAACCTGAAATCCGAAAACCATCTTATAAAACTAAATTACTTACACGTGAAATTGTCAAGTTTTTTATAAGTATCTTTCCACTTTAAAAATATGTGAATATGATTTACTAATATTTTAAATTTGTATCGAGAATTCAACTTCGGACTACATATACATAAGATTCGATTTGATGTGAATTTATGTAGTAAAGATTCATACATTACAAGCATACATGTATACTTAATTACCATACACTAAGGATGACAAAAATGAATATTGAAATTAATGTAAACTTCCATATTATTCAAGTTTGTTTATTGTTATTAGTTTATTTTCGGATTTCAGGAAGACTTAGTGAATGACACTTGATAAATGCAGGTAATTCAAACTCCTTAAAATAGACAGAAAAAAACTTATTGATTTCTATGATTTAGTTACTTGATTATATATACACTATATACATTTTATTATATATATTACCCAGTGTTGGTATTTGATAATTGAAATATATATTATAGTCCTATATTATATGAATTTAAGGCTTATGTTTATACAGAATATTCACCCTTGAGACCAACCATAACATTTATATACAGGCGATTGAATTTTACAGTGCCTTTCCAAGTCTCAGTGGAAAGTCTTGCTGGCTGTTGAATGGTGCAGTATAACCTACAGCAATGATCTAAGTCTTGTTTAACTCACTGGTGCTTATTAGTGAGAGTGTATTAGTTGTACAGTATAGTTTATTGATGTAATTTTTTTTAGGGAAGTTCTATGAGAGGAAAGTGCCTGTATTGTGTTGTATTGTGTTGTATCAATTCAGAACTTGAGGAAAAAAATTATGTCTCTCTCTCTCTCTCTCTCTCTCTCTCTCTCTCTCTCTCTCTCTCTCTCTCTCTCAAGAATTATTCAACTTTAAAATCACCACAACTATATACAGGTACTTGGTCTTGATAATGTACTCTTAAACTAAATATATATTCTAACAATTACAGTACCATAAATTACCAGAAGAATACTATTAAAAATAATATAAATATATGAAATATTCCCAGATGTGGTTTAAGTGAAGGGATCAAATATTTATCAACAGTTTTAATATATTTCCATCTGTCTCGGTCAATACTAGGGTGAAATATATCCGGGGGGGTAGAGTAAAATCTTTCCCACACCACCATTATATGCTTAAGATATTAGATTTATAATATATTTCACTACTAGATTTACAGTATATTTCACTACTATGATATATTACGGATGTTAGATTTATTAATATGTAAAATAAACTAAAAATAATTCTCCAAGTTTAGTTTTTCTGGTAACAATCAACTTTTAGAATTTATTGTACAAACTTTGGTGATTGGTTCCTTATTTCTCTACGATGACAGAATACATGGGCAAATATATACATATGTTATACACTTAAATATACATGCATTTTATAGGTAGATGTACACAGAATTCATACAGTTTAGTATATAAATTTTTCAATCTTTTATAAACGAGTGTGTTTGTACGTGAGACTGCCCTCTTTTTAACGGACTATATAGAGATGAAAGTCCGTTATGTGGAGGTTTTACTGTATGTTTAACTAATCCTTCACAATCCACTATTAACGACCACCTGATACAAACGGACACCAACTTTGATTACATAGAAGTTAATGAAGAATAAAGGAAGTTTGTATTTGAAGTTAATTTAGACTTAATCTCTGCTCATTTAACTTCAGCCACAAACTGTATTTTGAGATAAGTAATTTTTTTGTACCATTTTGTATCTCCAGTTCTGTATTTTGTAATGTATTTTGATTTATTAACATTATTTGAGTTAGTGCCCTGTTGTATTGATTCTATATACTGTATGTGATTTGTATATAAATTGTTTGTGAAGTAACTTAGTAATGAATAGCTAAAATAGATAAGTTTTTTTACATTGTATTTTTTTTAGAATTAGTTATACAGTAGCTCCATTTATGAGTCATACAGTGTTTACAAGTACTGTACAATGATGCAAATGTATTTTCATTATAAATACACTTTATGATATTATTACTCTGTCGTTTTTGTACCATACTATGTTGAGTTAGTGTGGATTGGTTTAATAATGGTGATGAACCTGTTTTAATGAAGATAAAGTTGGGTTTTAATACCATAGTGACGTAGTGAGAGGGTATAACACTAACCTAGCCTAACTTAACCTAACCTAACTTAACTTAAAGATGTAAGTAAACAAGTCAAAGTAGGGTGTAAGTCTCAGCTCCTATGAATTTTGACCTTGTGAAGTGTAAACAGAGAAGGTGGAGGGGGTGGGGCGGGCCGGGGCGGGGCGGGGCGGGGCGGGTGAGTTAGCTGATCTCTGGGTGTTGATACTCAGCAGCTGTTGTCTTGGGCGCCTGACACCTGTTGACACATATCACAGGTCTTATTGTGGATGGTGATGGGAGTGTGCGATGGTGGCAGGGATGGTGGTAGGGTGGCAGGGATGGTGGTAGGGTGGCAGAGATGGTGGTAGAAGGGGCAGGGGTGGTGGTGATAGGAGGATCAGGGGTATTGGGTTGGTGATAGAGGGGTATAAGGATGTCCGGATGGGGCCATGCTGGTAGTAGGGGTGTGGTGGTGGTGGTGGTGGTGTGGTAGGGGTGTGGTGATTGATGTAGGGATGGTGGTAGGAGTGTACAGGCGGAAAAAAGGAATCATTATATCACATAAACATAACCTGGGTTAGGTTAGGTTTGGTTAGATTAGGTCAGGCCTGGTTAAGGTTAGATTTGGTTAGATTAGGTTAGTTTTGGTTAGACATATAAACATAAACATTTCTAGCCACACACACACACACACACACACACACACACTATATGTCTTATTTGTGTCACTTATGTCACTTGTATATTATTTGTAATTCGTAACCCATTCCCCAAATATGTAACTGTATATTTTCAGCCTTCTGGCTGCCAAGCTCTTTCAATAAACCGTTAATTATTATTATTATTATTATTATTACACACACACACACACACACACACACACGCTCAGTCAACTTCCCAGAAATTCATATTTGGTGATGTGAGAACGTAGGTATACCTGAGTCTGTCCAGTCCTCTTATGGTTAGTTTTCTCCGTAAATGTTGACGTTAAGAGGAACTGAAATACCTCACCTTAATCCACGAAACAGATTAGTCAACCAAGATGGCGTCAAAATTATCCTGAGACTCTACCGTAAGTCTGTTCTGTGATTCACTCTTACAGGAAAATGTAATATTGAATCACCTGAAGATTATACATCCAAGCTTATTTAACTTAATGATTGAACACCTTAACGCTACCTGGAGAGGGTTTGGTTAGGTTAAGATTAGATATAGCGTTTGGTTAGGTTAGTGTTCGGTTGACTTGGGTTAATTTAGGATAGATTAGCATTAGGTTGGGTAAGGTTAGATTAGATTAGGTTAGGTCTGCGTTAGGTTACGTTAGACTAGCATTAGGTTGGGTCAGGTTAGATTAGATTAGGTTAGGTCTGCGTTAGGTTACGTTAGACTAGCGTTAGGTTGGGTAAGGTTAGATTAGCGTTGGGTTAGGTTTGGTTAGATTGGGTTTGAGGAGTTAGGGTAATTTCAGAAGGTCAGAAGGGCAACGGCGCCACTGAGAAGCTGAGGATCGTCACAGTACTAATCTGGGCCAGCTGTCACTAACACCCGGGCGGGGGTAGTGGGCGGCCGGGGTGGTGGTGGCGTGTGTAGTAGATGGGGGTACCGTGGGTAGTAAATGGGTAACGGGGGTGGCGTGGGTAGTAGATGGGTGACGAGGTTGGTAGATGGGGGTGAAGAGGTGTGTTGGGTGGTGGGGGAAGGAGGCATAAGGTGAGAGCGGATGTGTGGGTGGCAGGCAGGCAGGCAGGCAGGTATAGGTAGGTGGGTGGCGCGTGCTTAGAATAATAGCAACTGTGTGGGTGGCAGGTAGGAGGATCATTAACAGGTGTACCGAACCAGGAAGTTTAATTATCAAGGTTCAGTACCACAGGTGTATACAAGTCCAGGTATACAATAATTCCCACCTGTTAACAGAATCATACGATGGTCTTAATTGGAAGTATGTATGCAAAACTACGCCTTATTTGTATTATGTGTTGTGTTGTAGCTTAAACTCAGTTCAGTCAGAGGAGAAAAATGGTCACACGTTTCGAATTTTAGAAACCAATAAACTCTAAAACTTAAGCTCTAATGGGTCTATCAGATTAAGTGGCAAGTGAAATGCTAATACAGACGTTTGATATTCCGAGTCGTGGTTGATGTTTTTCAGGAGGCGGCTGAGGGGACGTGTCCTACCAAAGACAGCCTGGGTTTATCTCTGGTCCGGCGACGTGCTGCTGACACCGAGGAATTTGATTAGCAAAACCCAATGATATTCAACTTATTTGTGTAATTTTGCTATCGTTACCTCTATTAATTTATTATTATTAGTAGTAATAGTTGTTGTTGTAGTAGTAGTAATAAAATGGCGGCGAAGGTGTGGCTATTGGAGGAGGCTGGAGGCCATGTTAAAATAAAAGTAGTAGTAGTAGTAGCAGGACTTCTAACACATCCAACGAAGCACGTGTGGACGTCAGTGCTCGAGGATTCTGGACGCGGGGACAGCGAGACTTCTTTGACATAAGGATTTTCGATCCCATGGCCGCATGTCTCCGTAACTTAGCTCTCGATGCTGCACACAGGAGGACGAGAATGACAAGAGCAGGGCATATGGGAAGAGAATTCGGAATGTTGATCAGGGCAGCTTCACTCCTCTGGTGTTCACAACCTCTGGTGGGATGGGACCAAGTGCAAAATGTTTTTATGCCAGACTCGCGGAGGTGTTAACTGAACAGAAGCAGCAGCCCAGAAGTTACGTTACAGCCTGGTTGAGATGTCGACTGTCCTTCTCTCTCCTTAGGTCCGCATTGTTTGTCTTGGGGGAACGAGAGCATCGGATTCAAAGCCGACAACAGTCGAAGATATTGACTGTGAGGCAGCAGTCACTGAATGCCGCATAGATCTGCGGCTCAACTAACTCAACACAGCTATGGTAGCTACTTATGTATTAGGATATTTAATTTTAAGGGAATAAAATGACGGCGAAGGTGTGACTATTGAGGGAGGCTGGAGGCCACGTTTAAAGAAAGAAACGAGTAGTAGTAGTAGTTTATAGCAATCGATTTATTCTGTTGTTTCAGATAAGATTATAAATACATGTATGAAGCTTGTAAACACTCTTTTATATTTATGTATATTTAATTTCGTCTCCTCGTATCTTTCCCAGGGTGGCGAGCGCTGGTAAGAATCACTCGCTCGATGCTATAAGAACAGCCACGAGCCGTAGTCGTGGCACCAGTGGCTGGACCTCAAGAGAAGGGGGGTGAGGTGTCTGGATAACCCACATGGGATCCACATGAAGAAGGACTCTGGAAGTTCAAGGATCTCTATAAGCTTAAACACTCTCACAAGCTGAAGGACTCCCATAAGCTGAGGAACTACCACAAGCTGAAAGATCCCCATAGGCTACAGGAACTTCCCATGAGCTGAAGAGCTTCCCAGTAGTTGAGTGTGAAGGACGGCCAACAGACTCAGGCAGAGAAGACCACAGGAACATCACTGCTTCTACACTCGGATATATCGTGTGTGTGTTGTGTAGTGATGGATGATAAGATAAGCATAGGTTATTAAACCAGAAAGATAGATAAGATAAATTAAGTAATATGTGATAAGATAGATAAAGAAAAGGAGTTTTGTGTGACAATATTATGCCTGAGGACTTCACTGCTGAAGTAGAGGTCCCATTAGCAGTGATCGGAACTGACTGTGCCATCACCCATTCCCTCAGTGCCATCAGTGCCCTGCCTTAGTGCCATCAGTGCCCTGCCTTAGTGCCACCAGTGCCATCCGTCCCTATTCAGTGTCACTAGTGTCCTACCCTAGTGCCAGCAGCCGCCATAAGGCACTATGTCGTCAAAGGGGGAGCGCATCTTGTCACAGATCCAGGCGATGCAGTGCCACGTGACACAGCTACGTCAGGAGGCCAGCATAACGCGTATCCCTGTCAGCCAAGCGTGTCACGAGTGAGTATACTGTGGCATGTAGTGTAGTGCCATGAGTACTCTGTGTCATGTAGTGTAGTGTCACGAGTACCCTGTGTCATGTAGTGCCATGAGTACTCTGTGTCATGTAGTGTAGTGTCACGAGTACCCTGTGTCATGTAGTGCCATGTGTACTCTGTGTCATGTAGTGTAGTGTCACGAGTACCCTGTGTCATGTAGTGCCATGTGTACTCTGTGTCATGTAGTGTAGTGTCACGAGTACCCTGTGTCATGTAGTGCCATGTGTACTCTGTGTCATGTAGTGTCATAGACAAAAATTCACGTGTGTTAAAAAGGTGTATTAGGGAGATGTGTTAAGGTGATGTGTTAGGCAGGTGTTTTATCTCCCTAACACACCTGAATGTCTTACATACACACACACACACACACACACACACACACACACACACACACCAGGACCTACTTTTAATAGATGATATAGTAATGAGTCACGAACCCTTAAGAACCCCTATATAATGACTCATGAACCCCCTGTGAACCCCTATATAACGACTCATGAACCCTTGTGAACCCTGTTATTACGACTCATGAACACCTGTCAACCCCTTTATCGTGGACCGCACTGCGACATCAAAACTACTCTTGTGTTAAATTCACGTGACTTACCACTATTGTTTATTCCCCCCCCCCCCCAATAACATCGGGTCTGTGTGAATTATTGGGACCAGTAATTATCAGCTACAGAACCCGGACGTAATTGAATTATTAATTAAGTCGGGGAATTTTCTATTATTGAATTATTAGAAGAATTATATGATTAGTGATTTATAGTAGTATGAATTATCTTAGACGGAAAATATTATGTTAGATGTATAGAGAATTTGTTTGTAATGGAATTATTTGATTTAACATAGAAGGTAATTATATAGGAATTATCCCAAAAGTAAATTATTTAAATAAGAACTTTGTGGAAGGTAATTATCAAAGAATTATTTTATTTCGATTATCCGGTTGTTGAATTATCCGTGTATGAATTTACCTGATGGCAACTATGAGGAAAACAACAATAATTAAACATATAATAATCTGAGAATAATTATTTTGATAATTGGTTATTGTAGGGCTTACGGATCATAGTATTAAAAAATAATTACAATTCAATAATCCTGTTTTGCGATAAATAATTCAGTTGAAAGTAATCCAGGAAATTAGCATAAATTACCTGAGCTAAATTGACCCGCATAATAATTATCCTCATAATAATTACAAGGGTTAAGTAATTAAGATTATATAAATTATTTAATGGCCTTTTTATATAAATTATCATACCCTGGCAGCCTGACTCAAAACAAATGGAGGAAAATGCTAAACACACAAGTCGTTATTCTGGAAAATATTTATGATAAAAATAAACTTTCAATCACAGTCATGATGTATAAAACCCCTCTTTACCTCTCCACCAATGAGGGTCGTTGTTGATAATGACGTCGTGCTTGCAGCTCACTTCCTCTCAACCAATGGGAATAAGTGTTGATATGACGTCACGGGTGCAGCCTAGCGGAAGTTAAGAATAGACGTAAGTAACACGGCGCGGGCATGGCTAGAAACATTTTATTTTCGTTATAGATGTACATTATTACGTCACAGATAATACATAGCTCTTGTGGAAATAAATCACCAGCTTTAAATGACTTACGGTCGAGTTTATAACGAATATTTATCGTCGTCAGCTTTCTAGGCGATTGGGGCGGTTAGTCAACAAAGTCATTCCCCAGTTACTCAGTGTTTACAAGTAGTTTTTTTTTTGGTTATGTATGTAAAAGTTCTTAAATGTACTGTATAATTTTTTCCCAGTGTTGGTCTAGCCAGAACTTAAAGGAGGTGACTTTTTTATGGTTGTTACAATATTTTCCTATATTGCTTTAGGATTATGAGAATGGTATTAATTATGATGTGCTACAGTTAATTGAACTGATAATTAATTTGACGATTTTATAATGTATTACGACGTAAATTGGTGTTTGTTCTGTTCGTTAATGAGGATGGTAGAACACACACACACACACGAGTAACCGAGAAGTCAATCAATCAACCACAACAGGAAAAAAAATAACCATCCCTCACCTATACACCACATCCATCAGTGAGGTCAGGAAAGACACACGCAGTAAGTCGAATAACCTCGCCCTCCTAGAGACTATACCAGATGTTTAAATACAGATAACAGACACACTTGAGTTATATAGCTCGTCTGTGGGTGTTGTGGGTCGTGTCAGTGTTCAGTGGAGTGTTTACATTCATCAGCTGACTAACATAAACAAAACATGTGGACGGGACATTATTACGCTGTATAGGTTTTATGTTCTCGTGTAAAGTTGAGATGTTCGACTACCAGATGTGTTTATGTGTGTGTATTGTGTTGTGTTGTAGTGTGTGTGTGTGTGTGTGTGTGTGTGTGTGTGTGTGTGTGTGTGTGTGTGTGTGTGTATCTTCTCTCAACAGGTGTACGAGCCTTCCTCTGGTATAATCAAATCTCTGTACAGTGTGTTGTTGCCTTGAGAGATAGAAGGCCAGGTATACCCATTACCTATCGCTCTCTGAAGTCTCCATTACGAGTTGTTCCTCACTCTCCAAACATCGTCCTCGGCAGTAGTATACGAGGTGGTTAGAGGGATAGTGGGGGGGAAGTAAAAGCGGACTTAACCCAGCTGTATCCTCTCTCTCTCTCTCTCTCTCTCTCTCTCTCCTCTCTCTCTCTCTTGCCATCCTCTTTCTTCTTATTCTTCTCCTCTCCCGATTATTTCCCCTTTTTCTTTCTCCTCCACCTCCCCACCCCTCCTCCTCAAACCTCTTTCTTCAGGACTAGAGGAACCCCGACCTCAGACCCTTCCCCCACACACTAAATCACAAGATCCTCCCACATCCCAGGCAGTCCCGCCCTCCCCCCACTAAGGTCTCTTCTTTTGCAAGTCTCGACTCACCCCCCCTTTAAGTCTCGGCCTAACACCCCAAGTCTCGGCCTAACACCCCCCACAAGTCTTGGCCTAGCACCCCCCCTCTGAAGTCGGCCCTACTTACCCCCCTTATCAGTGATAGGTGCTGATAATAACGTCACGAGAGCCACCCTAATACTTGATGCCCTATAATTATAACCTCATTTATAGGATCCTGACACAGCCTAACACCTAGACACTTGGCTTGGCTCAGGGATTGGTTGAAGCGCCCCAGGCAACCTTATACGAGAAACAGATACATTATGATAATTTTTTTTGGGGGGTGAAGGATTACGTTACTATGTTTTATGCCTCCTTCTCCTCTCTCTCTCTCCTTCCCTCCTTCTTTCCTTACCTCTTTTAGGCCTCTCATGTGGTATGGGGGTCGAAGAACGGGGGGCACGTTCACTACTACCCATACGCTCACCCCGACCCGGTTCTCTCTCTCTCTCTCTCTCTCTCTCTCTCTCTCTCTCTCTCTCTCTCTCTCTCTCTCTCTCTCTCTCTCTCTCTTCTTGCTTCCCTCCTGTTTATCTTACCTTCCCTCCCTTCTCCTTTTCCTTCTTTTCCCTCCTCTTCCTTTCTTTCTTTTCCCTTCTCTCTGTCCCTCCTTCCTGCCTCCCCCTCCTCTGACCTACCACCTGGGTCATGTGTCACGGAATAGGTCACTTATCATTCCTGGTACCATAGTTTTGTTGTTATTATTATTATTATTATTATTATTATTATTATTATTATGGTACCCCACAACAAGTAGACTTTCCTTCGTGTGAGTTCTAATATTATTTGAGCACTACAGCTACACAGACAGACAGACAGACAGACATTACAACGTATAGACAGAGTGACCTCCCTGTCTGCCAGTCGGTCGTTTAGAAAGGGCGTTGACCTTTTTGACTAAACCCTCCTCCCCTCCTCCCCTCCTCCCCTCCTCCCTCCTCCCCTCCTCCGCCTCCCCTCCTCCCGCCTCCCCTCCCGTCTTACCTTCCTCTTCCTTCCCTCTCCCGTCCCCACCTTTCTTCCCTTCTCTTTACCCTCCTTTCTCCTCTTCTTTCCCCTCCATTCTCCCCATCTCCCCCCTTTCTTCCCCCTGCCCCCTTACTCCGTTACCTCTAGGGGGCCGGGACGTGGGGTCAGGCAGGGGAGGGGGCTTCATCAACTGGTGGACTAGACGTGCTTCATCGATCATGTCTCGAGATGATGACACACACACGCACACATACACACGCACATACATACATACGTACATACATACATACATACATACATTGACCATAGTTCTCAAAGGGTTAAACTATAAACCTTAAAGGGTTAATTAAATGGTGTTTAGACACGGTGGCGTTGGTTGTCCTCCCAGGTACTAATTACAAAAATTTTACCTGTAGAGAGAGAGAGAGAGAGAGAGAGAGAGAGAGAGAGAGAGAGATACCTTTGATAAGTTAACTGGGATGAGCTTGGGTGGTGGGCGGTGTAAGAGAGGATGATGGGTTAGGTGGGCGGAGGGTGGGTTAGGTGGGCGGGGTGGGGTGGGTACGGACGGTAGGGTATGTTTATGACCTGGGTATTATTTTGGTGCCTCTGTTTACCTCCCATGACGCCCCCACTCAACATCGTGCCGCCCACCCTCTACACAACATCGTGCCGCCCACCCTCTACACAACCTTGTGCCGCCCACCCTCTACACAACCTCGTGCCGCCCCACTCTCATTCAACCTCTTATACCACCCATTTCCACCCAATCCTGTGCCACCCACCAACTCCCACCCATGCTACCAACTCTTAACCCAGCTTCATCCCACCCATATTAAATAGTTAAATTAAATAAACGAAATATATAAAATTATGAGTAAGTTTAATTCAGATTCGAACGCCACGTAAAAATGTCAACAAACTCCTGAAGGTGACGACCTGAGGAAGAGTAACTCAGAAGTGTTTCCTTGACACATATGAGAGATAAAGAAAGTGGTGAGAGAGAGAGAGAGAGTACTTAAGATAGACAGTTATTGTTTTTCATTTCGTGAGAGAGAG